GTCCAGTAAAACAAAATGAAGACTGATTTCCTAAGTATATCAGTATTTCAAAGACTATAAAATAGTGAAGATCTGTATTTACTGTGTGTTCCAATAAAGCATACACAGATGCAAATCCTTCACCCATTTGGGCAACAGCTAGTTGATAACCTTATTCAGAACACTGTAGTGAATGAGAAAGTCAGAAGCCAAAATAGATGTTTAAAAGTCCCTTTCCTGAACTTGTATACTTTTTATTATTAGAGGAATTCCTGAAACTTCAAGACTTTTTACTTAGCTATAACAACTTTGATAATCTGGTTTTCACATTATGGAGAGGAGGATTGACATTTGTATCATAAGAGGATAAGGACAAGGGAAAGGATGACAGAGTAGAGAACATAGATGAAATAATAACATTGTCTGGATACTTTTAGTGTTAAGGCAAGTCCTGGTAAATTCATATGCCTATGGGATTTTTGCTGCGTTATAACTTAATATATAGTACAATATAAAGAGATTCTTTGAATTATAAAGAAAAATTAAATGTGTACTTTCTCATTTTTTTCCATCCAAGAATGTCTTTCATACTCTTTTTAAAAAATATTATTATTTTTTAATTTTTTTAACGTTTATTTATTTTTGAGAGAGACAGAGACAGAGTGCGAGCAGGGGAGGAGCAGAGAGAGAGGGAGACACAGAATCCGAAGCAGGCTCCAGGCTCCGAGCTGTCAGCACAGAGCCTGATGTGGGGCTCGAACTCACAAACCGCGAGATCATGACCTGAGCCAAAGTCGGATGTTTAACGGACTGAGCCATCCAGGCACCCCATTTTTAAAAAATATTATTAATAAACCTTGTTTTGGGGGCGCCTGGTAGCTCAGTTGGTTAAGTGTCTGACTGTGGCTCAGGTCACGATCTCGTGGTTTGTGGGTTCCAGCTCCTTGTCGGGCTCTGTGCTGACAGCTCAGAGCCTGGAGCCTGTTTTGGAATCTGTGTCTCCCTCTCTCTCTCTTCCCCTCCCCAGCTCACACTCTGTCTGTCTCTCTCAAAAATAAACATTAAAAATTGTTTTAATAAACTTTATTTTTAAGAGTTTTATATAAATATTGAGCAGTAAATACTCAGTTCTCATATCCCCTACCCCCACCCCCCCCACACAGTTTCTTCTGTTATTAACATCTTGTATTAGTGTAGTTTTTTTTTGTTACAATTGGGAACCAATATTGATACATTATTATCAACTATAGTTTACATTGGGTTCATTCTTTGTATTGTACAGTTCTGTGAGGTTTGAGAAATGGTGCTGATGTATATAACATTATACTTTTTTTTTATGTTTATTTTTTGAGAGAGGGAGAGTGACAGAGTTTGAGTGGGGAGGGGCAGAGATAGAAGGAGACACAGAATCCGAAGCAGACTCCAGGCTCTGAGCTGTTAGCACAGAGCCTGACACGGGGCTTGAACTCACTTACCATGAGATCATGACCTGAGCCGAAGTCAGATGCTTAGCTACTGAGCCACCCAAGCACTCCATATAGTGTTAAACTTTTATTTCTTTATTATTATTATTATTATTAATTTATTTTTTTAAATAATCTCTACACCCAATGTGGTGCTTGAACCACAGCCCCAAACTCGAGTCGCATGTTCTTCTAACCGAACCAGCTAGGTGCCCCTACTGCTGTGGTTTTAATTCCATATATCAGTTGTTATTGCTGGTGTATAAGAAAGCACTTGGCTTTTGTATATTAATCTTGTATTCTGCAACTTTGCTAAAATTACTTATTAGTCCCAGGAGTTTGTTGTTGATGATGATTTGGGATTCTCTGTGTAGACAATCCTGTCATCTGCAGAGAAAGACAGTTTTATTTCTTCCTCCTTCCCATTCTGTATACCTTTTATTTCTTTTATCTGTTTTACTGATTTTGCTAGAATTTCCAACATGGCATTGAAGAGGGGTGGTGAGGAGGGACATCTTTGTCTTACTTCCGATCTTAGGAGGAAAGCATCTAGTTTCTTATCATTAAGTATGTTAGCTGTAGGTT